CTCTTTGAAGAACATGTCCTGGAGGCTGAAAGAAGCAAAAAGGAGGTCTCTACCTCCTCCTTCAATAGGAATCTACCACTCCTAGTACAAAGAAAGTGAAAATTGACCTAGTACCTGCTCTGTAGGGGTCATGGCAAGTGTTCTGCCAGTCAGCTTCATCTTCAGAGCTATCAATGTCCCCATAAGGACGCACCATTAGATTGAGTGCCAGATATGGAATGAGTCAACCTCAAAGGAGGAGAGGGTACTAAATGATGGTGGCAGAAGTAGGATCTAGAGTACTGAGGCAAAGAGGATCCCCACTCCCCTACCAAGAGCAATGAGCTGGGGTATGATTACAAGTGGAGCCAGTGCTAGATAGAATGACGGGCTGTGTGTCATCAAGAGGGAACCAGGACCCAGTGATTGCAAGAAGATTTAAAGAGTGAAAAAGGAAAAGGTTTAAGATGAAAGCAAGTTTGTTACCTGTTCAGCTGAACTTCCATAGTGGAAGGGGAGGCAGCCTGAGGTGAGATGTGGTGGTGGGGGGGGAATGGGTTGAGAGAAATGGGAATAAGGGAGCAGTCAGTGGGGGATGGAGAGGAAATCCAGGGAGTCAGAATTTCCTCACTCTTGTCTCCCTGGCAGCTTTCTGTATACATATATCCACTTTCCCCACAGATACTGAATATTTTAGTGGTTGAATGTGACTCAGGTTTCGATGTAGGTTTTGCCATATTTTTTATTTATATATTTGCTTAAATATATGAGTGCCTGTGATATTATTTTTTTTTTTGGTTAAGGAAATGTGATGTTTAAGATCTAAAAGTGTCATTGTAATAAGTGGCTGGTTAGAAACTCATTGGTGGGAGCTTCAGAGCTAAGAGGAGTGAATATTTCCCTTCAACAAGGTTACCCTGAGAATGTGAGTATAACCATGTGTAGTGGTGCTTTTCTGAGAGACTAGACCAGACAGCATGAGAGCAAGTTAGAGAGAGCCATCCAACTCAGCCAGTAATCAGGTGTCCACATGTGCAGGTGAGAGCACTACCAGTGGGAATAGCTGCCTCATAACCCCTTACCTATTATATTGTTAAAAAGATGATTAAGGAATGGTGAAAAAAAAAAAGGAAGTGGAGATCACAAAGAGCCAGCATAGCTTCACCAAAAATAGGCTTCCTCAGACTAAATTCACTTGCTTTTTTTTGAGACAGTTACATTTCTGATCAGGAGAATGGCTGTTGACATACTTTAATTCGATTTTGTCAAAGTCTCTGATACTATTCTTGTGGAAAATATGGAGAGATGTGGGGTAGGTGATAGTATAATTATACGGACTCAGGATTGGCTGAATGGCCACACCAAGGGAGGTTTAGGCAGAAGAGGAGTCGTAGGTGGCTCAGTAACTGCCTTCAGATATTTGAAAAGTGGACACGTGGAAAGGTATCTAAGTCAATGTTGGATAACCATTGGTCAGGGAGGTTGTAGAAGGTATTCTTGTTAAGGAGCAGGTCGGATCAGATGGGCTTTTGGGGTCTCTGCTGCCTGTGGGTTACTGTGATTTTTAATGCTTCTGCTAATGCAGCCTAAGACCACATTAGCTTTTTTGGTTGCCAAATCACATTGTTGGCTATCTTATCAGGCAGTGTGGTGTAATACAGTTTTGTTGTCGTTCGTTCATTTCAATGTTGTCTGACTCTTCTGGACTCCAGTTGGGGTTTTCTTAGCAAAGATACTGGAATGGTTTGCCATTTTTTCCTTCTCCAACTTATTTTACAGATGAGGAACTGAATCAGTCAGGATTAAGTGACTTACCCAGGGTCACACAGCTAGTTAAGTGTTTGAGGCCAGATTTGAACTCAGGAAGACAGTCTTCCTGACTCTAGGCCCAGCACTCTATTGGCTGTGCCACCTACCTGCCACAATGGTATAGTACGAATGATACCACTAATTAGCTGTGTTGGGAGCAGCTAGGTAGTGTCATATTGCACGAATGCCTGAAGTCAGAAAGACTCATCTTCCTGAGTTCAAATCCAGCCTCAGACATTTACTTGCTTTGTGACCCTGCGCAAGTCACTTAACTGTGTTTGCTTCACTTCCTATCTGTAAAATGAGCTGGAAAAGGAAATGGTAAACCACTCCAGTATCTCTACCAAGAAAATCCAGATGGAGTTACAAAAAGTTGGATATGATTGAAAAAAGACTGAACAACAACAAAAATTAACTGCATTATTTTGATTAAGTTACTGAAACTCTTCAAACCCCAGTTGCTTCTGGTATAAAATAGTGATAATAATATTTGTACTACCTACCTCATCATTTTGTTCTAAGGAAAATGCTTTGTTCATAATCAGAGCAATCACGGTAGGGTGACCAGCCAAACTTTTAGAGGGCACTAATTAACACTCATATTTACTTCAACAATTGGAAACCACAGAGTTTAGTACTTAGTTAACAAGAATAATGAGTAAAACAGAGAGGTACTAGATGATGTGCTTCTTTCCCCTGGCATCTCTACCTGAGCTCTTTCCTGATCCAACCCCACAGCCGTTTAACAGCAGACTCTCAGCCGCTGTGAGGGTGAAGATATGGGGCCTCTTTTTCCTTTCTTCTCCCAAGAGGGCTGTGTCCCAGGGCCTCTTCCGCAAAGGACTTTATGTCCTGAGGCCTAAGATCTCCCCTTAAGGTTTCTCTCTTAACTCCTGTCCAAACTTAACTCAAAAGTTGATCTGAAGACATGTTGCTTTCCTTGGGCATGTACTGTGCTTTCCCTGGGGTCCCAGAATGGCTATGGGATTTAGAGCTAGAAGGGAATCTTAAAGATCATCCAGTTGAATGCTATCATTTACAGATGGGAAAAGACTCTCAGAACTTTACCTTTAAAGAAGAACTTTAAGTTCTGTATAAAAGTTATTGTTGTTGTACTGAAATAAAGTTATGCCTTGTCTATGGCATTCTTCTGGCCTACTAATCTAGTAACTCCATCAAGAAAGGAAATTTGTTTAGACTGGTATGACCTGTTCTTGATGAATGCAAGCTAGATTTATGCATAGGAACGCATTGAGCTTGGGTGTGGTGGGGTTTCATACTCTGTGGCGTCATTCCCATTCACCTCTTCCATTCCCCTTATGGTCTCGTAACCAGTAATGTCAGAGGCAGGATTTCAAACAGTCCTCTGTGGTATGCTGGCCTATAATTTATGCATCCCTATGCCTCTTGGTGATCATGTTTCCCTTTCAAAGTGCTTATATACCATCTCTTTAATAAGATGTGTAAGAATTATCTCATTTGGTTCGCACAACAACCCTGCACGGCATTTTTGCTGTTGTTGTTGAGTTATTTCAGTTATGTCCTTCTCTTTGTGATCCCATTTGGGTTTTCTTGTTTTGTTTTAAACTAGGCAATGGGGTGAAGTGACTTGCCCAGGGTCACAGAACTAGTAAGTGTCAAGTGTCTGAGGTCAGATTTGAACTCAGGCCTTCCTGAATCCAGGGCTGGTGCTCTATCCACTGTGCCATCTAGCTATCCCAAGAACTTTTTTTTTTTTTTTTTTTTTTTGTTAATGAGGACTAAGGGAGGACAGAGACTGAGTTCCTCCATGGGAACCTTGGGTATACACACTCAGTTCTGGCTCAGCAGCCAATTAAAAGATTTTTCTTCACCATACAGTAAGAAGCCATGAAACAGTCACAGACCTATTCATGCCCCAAAGTAGAGGGCAGAGCCTTCCATTTTGCATGCCCAGAAGCAGGCTCACCAAGCCCTCCATGGGGGCCTGCAGAATACACTGCACATACTCCAGGGACAGGGCCCCTGGTGTCCAGCTCCCCACTACGTATAGCTTGAAGAAGCCATTTGTATCTTTTTCCTAGATTCTTTTCAGTTTGTGTAGATTTTGATAGTGGAAAAACAGGGCTTAAATAAGAATACTGACTTTAAAATAATTTTCAAGAATTGGGTAAGAAGTCAGTTAGATCAAACTGGAATATACTTAGCAATATGTTTTTTATTTTTTTCTTTTACATTTAACCCAAACCAGTGATCCTTTATATTGTGATATACTAATAATTATGCTTGCTTTTCAAAAACATGAAGTAGAAAGCAATATCTATTTCACAATGTATGGGTCAATTTGTTAGCAGGGTGTTAAAATATCTTATTTTTCTTGTAATTAATTATACTTCTTTAAAATTAATCTAACTTTTTAAAAAAAATTTTTTTTTTTAGGCAATTAGGGTTAAATGACTTGCCCAGGGTCACATAGCTAGTAAGTTTCAAGTGTTTGGTCTGAGGGCAGATTTGAACTCAGGTCCTCCTGACTTTAGGGCTGGTACTCTATCCACTCCACCACCTAGCTGCCCCTAATCTAACTTTTGTAAAATAGGCTGTGCTGGGGGAAAAACTGGGTTAGGAACTCTGCTGAATAATCAAGGTTTATTCACGTAATATTCATTGTCTTGGGGCAGCTAGGTGGCGCAGTGGATAGAGCATTGGCCCTGAATTCAGGAGGACCTGAGTTCAATTGTGGCCTCAGACCAAACAGTTGACACTTACTAGCTGTGTGACCCTGGGCAAGTCACTTAACCCCGATTGCCTAAAAAAAAAAAAATCCATTCTCTTAAAGTTTTTTCTGCAATGAAATTTGTGTGCACCTAAAATTATTTCAGCCTTATTACTCAAATGCCAGTGGTTTGTTTTCAGGGTAGGGTATTACATTATGTGGTGCTTTTGAAATACACCATGAGCAAAATACTAGTGATAATTCCCAAAATGTTACTGCCCTCGAGACTTCTTCTTCCACTATCCAAAGAGAAATAAATAAAACAACTGTTGATTTGCTCTTGATAATAGCTACTGTTTTTATTTTTTGTACATGATAAAGAGCAGAACCCCCAATCTTAAGTAATAATGACTGACTGTGTTGCAATGACAAACCTGTTGGTTTGGCTCCCTCTTTGGTGTTCAGGTTTGCTTTGTGAAACAGGAAACTCTGGGCTGTCGAAACAGTGCAAGACTTCTGGTTGGATGAATCAGCATCATTACCTCTAAAATTGACTTCTGTTTTCTGGATACTTCAAATTTTCCAGTCGTTCTGGTTTTCTAAGTGAATTGTGCCAAAAAAAAAAAAAATAGCAGCAAAGGCTGGGGAAAATTACTATATCTGAGATCCACTCGTCAACTAACCAAAGGAACTGAAAGAAATTTCAGGTGAATATCAACGGTTTGTTGTGGGCAAATTTCAGTGAACAGAAATTTTCTGAAGTTGTAACAGACCTATCTAACACCACGGTAAGTCATACCTAAGCTTTAAAGGAAGTAAATATATAGATTTGTGAATCATCTTCATAGAGATGGTAATTAAATTAATGAATGCTGATGAAGTTACCAAGAGAGTATGGCATATAGAGAAGAGAGACGAGAAGAGGGCCTATAACAGAATACAGATCCTCTGTGCCTTTGGCTGTCTAGACATTACTTTAGTTGTTACAAGTAGAGGAATGCAGTAGTCCATTTGTAATCATTCATCAATCAATAAGCATTTATTAAATGCCTACTCTGTGCCAGGTACTGTGCTAAATGTTGGAAATACAAAGAAAGGTAAAATACAGTCCCTGGTTTCAAGGAATTTGCATTCTAACCAAGGTAGCTGGGTTCTGGTTTCTTTAAATCATCTTCCAAGGGAAACCAAGAGTCTACTTGGACAATGTATTTTTAAAAAGGTTCAAATTTTTTTACTTATTCTTGCATTCCTGTAATTCTGCTTTTATTTACCAATCTACAGAACTTCAAATTCCAGATCTGATAAATAAAAGAAGTCCCCAAGAAATTTAAAGACAAAAGCAATTATATAGATCTGTGAATCATCTGTTTAGAGATGATAATTAAATCCATGGCTACCTATGAGGTTACCAAGAGAGTATTGTTTATGGTGAAGAGAGAAGAAAAGAGGGGGCCTAGGACAGAATACAGATCCACTCTGCCTTTTTCTGTCTAGACATAAAACTTAAAAATTAGTCCCATGGCACATAATGCTTCATTTTTCATTCATAAAGCACAAAATGCTTTATTTTTAACAGTTATTTCTTTTATCTAATTATCTCAAAGTACTTTATAGATGTAAATTCTCACTCCATACTTTTACTAACTGTGTTTTCATGGACTCCAATCAATTATATTGAATAATATCACTTTGGAACTGGAAGAGATCTTCAAGATTGTCAACCATACCGAAACTAGTCTCTAACCTATGGGTAGCCAGAGCTGAACAAAGCAGGATAGAGACAGGAGAGTCAGGAATCAAAGAGAAGTTTAATTTCAAAATGAGGAAAACATTTTCAAGCAGAAGTTCTCCTGAGAAGGAGGGCTTATGGCTTATGGCAGGGGCAGGGTTTTTATACGTGAAAACCACAAAAGGCAGGACCATAACACAGTCATTCTTAGGTCTTGAGTAAACAGTTTCTTTCCATGGTTGGCATTTTTTGGGACAATCCAGGCATTCTTGGGTCCTGTGGGAACAGTCTCTAAGTTATTAGAATCACTTAGCCTTGTGATTCTCTCAAGTTAGGGTCGGTGAATCTTGTGATCTTCATTGGGGTACAGAACCAGAGTTAGTGTGACAGGAACAGGAGTGAAGTGCTTGGTTTGGTTCACTTAGCATGTCAGGAGATTTGATTAATCACTTTCTGCTGCAGCATGTCGGCTACAGTACCAGCTCCCCTGGGATCCCATGGGAAATAGAGATCAAAGCAATGCAAAAATTATGTGATTTTTCCAGAGGGTGAGATCATCCACAGAGTGAGAGCAAAGGATTGTTGTTATGCCAAGCTCAGGGTACAGCTTGTTTGCTGGACCTTAGCTCTAGATATTAGCTCCTAATATCTTGACAAGATCACAGAGACCACCAGTTCATTTAACAGATGAGGAAATGGAGGCCCAAAGAAATTAAGTGACTTGTCCGAGGTCACCCAGCTAGTTAGTGGTAAAACCAAGACTAGAACCCAGGCCTCAATTTCACTAATTCCCAATTCTCCCTCCCATCCAATGCAACCCAAGAAATACCTACTATGTGCAAGGGAGCTACAAGGTGCTAAAAGACAAAACAGAAAACAGTCCTAACTCTCATGCAGCTTATGTTGGACTGGGGAGAATCTATTTTGGCTATGATTATTCAGAGAGAGTAACAACAAATTGATTTGTTTTCCCTCCTCTTTCCAAACAACACAGGTTGTAAAGATGATCTGGAGATTGTTTTTTCTGCTCTTTGGAAATGCTCTCACCCAGTTTAGCTGCCCCCAGAACTGCCTCTGCCATCTTTTGCTGACAGATTGTCGCTTTGCCGACCTCTCTGACATTCCCCAGGGAATAGCTCAAGAAACAGAGACACTCTTTCTGAATGAGAATCACTTAACTCAAGTTCCACCTGGAGTCCTTCAGCCTTTTGTCAATTTAACTTTTCTTGGCTTGTCCTACAACAAACTCTCCCTGCAGAATGATACCTTCGATGACATCAGCAAAAGCATCCTTAGTCTGGATCTTGCTGGCAACAGTTTGACAGACCTTCCAGCTGCCTTGTTTCAAAACACAAAACAACTTGTTTGGCTAAACTTGGCTGAAAACAGACTGAGTGTGCTCCATGGAAAGATTTTTGCCTCCTTGGAAAGACTTACTTACTTGGACCTCTCTCAAAATAGGCTACAGTTGACAGTAAATATGTTTATGGGTCTTTCTCAGCTAGATACCTTACTGACGCCAGGTAATCATCTTGACTCAGTCCCGGCAGGAATTTTTGATCCTCTTCCTAACCTGAAGATCCTTGATATTTCCAATAATGAAATAAGCAGTTTACCAGATAATTTGTTTGAAAACTTGACAAATCTTAATGAGTTGCTCCTTGACAATAATAGTTTCAAGAAGATTCCATTTTCTGCATTCACTATCCTCCCTACCTTAAAACATTTCTCAATTTCTGGGAACAGGATACAAAATATTCCTCCCCTCTCATTCATTGGCAATTCTAGCTTAACGAGGCTTGACCTGTCAAATAATTTGGTGTCTGACCTTCCCTTGAATTTCTTCTCAGTGTTAAAGCAGCTGGAATTTCTTAATCTTTCTGGAAATAATATAAACACTCTTCCAGGAGATATATTTGTAAATAATACTCAGCTAGCATTTTTGCATTTGGACAGAAACCAGTTTCACAACCTGCCCATTTTTTCCGGTCTTCAAAGACTGACAGAGTTAACATTATGTTGCAATGGTATAGAAAACCTGCCCAGAACCTTCACAGACAAAATGTATGAATTAGAACGACTGGATCTCTCCAACAACAATATAACAGAGGCCAAAGGGCTGAATTCTAATGTAACACGAGTAATTTTGACTGGGAATCCAGTCTGTACAAACTCAGTGGTTTTCAAAACACATTGTTAAAAACCCAGACTATGGCAAGGCAAAAATAAAGGGGATGAGAATGGTTATGCTGATTAGGTATTTATTTTTGCTAACAAAAATAAAAGTTTGATGTATAATTATTTGTATCATGTTAGTAGCTCTGCAAGAGCAATGTCCAGGAGGATCACAGGTTTAGTGTTTGTATGATATAATTTAATTTCATTTTGCATCATGCCTTTCACGCTTCTTTGCCACAGGCATATCTATGTGTCCTGCAGTTCAATCAAACAAACATTTATTAAATGTCTACTATGTACGAGGCACTAGAGATAACAAAGACAGAAAAAATTTAAACAGTCTCAGCCCTGAATAAGCTTATATTTTAATAGGTTGACCTGGGATTAAGTAGGGGGTTAAGCATTTATATAGCACCTTCTATGTGCCAAGTGCTGTGCTAAGTGCTTTTTACAAATATTATCTCATTTGAGTCTCACGACATCCCTTTGAGATGAAGGAAGTTTGTTAAGAAAAAGTTTGTTTGCCTAAGGACTTTTCATAAATATTATTTAATTTGATCTTCACAACTCTGGGAGATAGATGCTATTATTATCCTCATTTTGCAGATGAGGAAACTGAAGTGAAGTGACTTTCCCAGGATCATACAACTAGTAAGTGTCTGAAACTGAATTTTAACTCAGGTTTTCCTGAGGGAGTTGGATGGGGCAGCTAGGTAAAGCTACATAGAGTACCGGGACTAGAATCAGGAAGATTATCTTCCTGAGTTCAAATCTGGCCACAAACACTAGCTATGTGACCCTGAGCCGGTCACTTAAACCTGTTTGCCTCAGCTTCCTCATCTGTAAAATGAGCTGGAGAAGGAAGTGGCAAACCATTCTAGCATCTTTGCCAAGAAAACCTCAAAAGGGGTCACGAAAAATTGGACGCAACAGAACAATAACAACAAAAACAAAACAGAGATAATAATAACACCTACCTTCCAGGGTCATTGTGCTTAGCACAGTACCTGGCACCTAGTAAGTAAGCTCTTCTCACTAGTACTGCTGCTGCTACTACTACTACTACTACTACTACTACTGTTGCTGTTGCTGCTGCTGCTTCTACTACTACTATTAGCTAACATTTATATAGTGCTTACTACATGCTAGGCGCTGTGCTCAGTGCTTTACAATTATTATCTCATTTTATTCTCACAACAACACTAGGAGGTAGGTGCTATTATCTCCTTTTTGCAAATTCTAGCTGCCCCCATTAATAAATTTTTTTCCCTCTCTCATCCTTTTTAAAGTTCTATTTTTGTGTAAGTTTCATAAGGTTAATACTTATTAGTATAGTAGTACACATATACAATTTAAAAATGAGTAAATATACATATATTGGGCTATGTACTATGATGGGGATGTACAACCAGAAAAAGTTTGTGAACCACTGTTAGAGGCAGTTGAAGTCATTGAAGATTTTTTTGACCAAGGGAGTGACACAGTCAGACCTCTTGGGTAAGAAGGTTATTGTGGCAGCAGTGTAACAGATAGTGGGTATTGTGATAGGTGCCTGGTCATATTTAGCATTCAGAACCCTGAGATTATGGTCGTCACTCAGGTGCCCATCCTGCCTGTCATACACACCCCCCAACACCAGAAGGTGGACTCTTTCTTGTATGCCTTTTATACTCAGTTATCTGCTATTCCCTCCTGGGCACCTATATGAATGTGGCTGCTTTTCTTTCCTTAGAGATTGGTATGGATTATCCAATCAAATCAAGAGATTGAAGCCTCCATACTGTTTCCTAATTACTCAAGATTCTATGGATAGGTAGAATAAATGTTTAATCAAATTAATAAAAACATAATGAAACAAAAGGATCAATTGGGGTCAGCTTCCACTTTCATTAACCCATTCACATAACCACAAGCTTTAATCTCTCCTCCCCTCCCCCCCAAGCCACTTTATACCACCCAACTGTCAAGCATTGATGAGAGGGAGAAGCTGTAGCTTGAAAGTTGGACAATTCACTTATTCTCTTACCATAGGCGATACTGTGTCTAACACTGTAAGAAATGACATATATGAAGAATCCAGAGAAATGTGGGAAGAATTATATCAACTGATAAGGAATGAAGTATGTAAAATTAAGAAAAAAAATAAGCACCATATCTGCAACAGTCAAAACAAAACTGGGGGCAGCGAGGTGATGCAGTGGATAGAACACCGGCCCTGAAGTCAGGAGGACCTGAGTTCAAATCTGACCTCAGACACTTGACACTCACTTAGCTGTGTGACCCTGGGCAAATCACTTAACCCCAATTGCCTCACCAAAAAAAAAAAAAAAAAAAAAAGGCAGAAAAAAATCAAAACAAAGCTGAATGCTGGGTAATCATAATGACCATGCTAGGCCCCAGAGAAAAGTTGAGAAAATATACCTCCTTTCCTTTATTACAGGGGTGGGGGACTATTAGTGTGAAATACTGCATATATTGTCATTTGGGGATAACTTTTGAAAAAAAAATATTTATTTCCAAGGAAGGCTCTCTGGGTAGGAAATGGGGAAAGGATATATTTGAAAATGAACGTGGCATAAAAACAAAAGGGATTAATTAAAAAAATGGTTCAGGTCAGAAGTGAGGAATAGTAACAGTAATAGCTAACATTTATATAGTGCTTACTGCTGAAAGTTGATTGGAGGGCATTGCCAGTATAAGTGCAGAATTGGGGACAAATGCAAGAGATGTTATGAAGGTCAAATTGATAGCTCATGGCAGCTAATTGAATATGGCAGGTAAAGGAGACAGAAAGCTAACCTATAACTCTAAGGTTTCAAAACTAACTAATCAACAGAAAAAGGGAAGTTGGGAGTAGGGGCAAGAATAGGGGGAAAGACATGAAATTGAAAAGTTTTTGCCCAAACAAAACCAATGTAGCCAAAATTAGAAGGAAAGCAGGAAACTGGGGGGGGGGGGGGAATACAGCAATTTTTTCTGAGAAAGGCCTCATTTCTCAAATAAATAGGAAACTGGGACAAATTTATTACAAAAAAAAAAAGAACCATTCCCCAGTTGGTAAATGGTCAAAGCATATGAACAGGCAGTTTTCTAAAGAAGAAATCAAAGCTAGTAAATAGTCACAGAAAAAAATGCTCTAAATCATTATTAATTAGAGAAAGATAAATTAAAATAACTCTGAGATACCACCTCACATCTATTAGGTTGGCTCACATGACAGAAAAGGAAAATTATAAATTCTAGAAGGGATGTGGGAAAATAGGTATACTAATGCATAGTTGGTGGAATTGTGAACTGATCCAACCATTCTGGAGAACAATTTGGAACTAGGCCCAAAAGTCTGTAGAACTGTGTAAACCTTTTGATCCAGCTGTGACACTACTATGTCTGTATCCCAAAGAGATCAAAGAAAAGGGAAAAGGACATATTTGTACAAAAATATTTATAGCAGTTCTTTTTGTGGTGGCAAAGAATTGAAAATGGAGAGGATGCCCGTCAATTGGTGAATGGCTGAACAAGATGTGGTATATAATTGTGATGGAATACTGTTGTGCTGTAAGAAATGAGGAGCAGGATGCTTTCAGAAAAACTTGGGAAGACTCATGTAAAGTGAAGTCAGCAGAATCAGGACAACATTGTACACAGTAACAGCAATATTGTAACAATGATCAGCTATGACAGTCTTAACTACTCTGATCAAGATAATGATTTAAGACAATTTTAAAAGGCCTGTGATGAAAAATGATATTTGCCTACATAGAGACAACTGATGAACTCTGAGTGCTGAAGCATACTTTTTTCACTTTCTTTATGTTTCTTGCTTTTAATTGTTTTTTTTTTGGTTTTTTTTTTTGCAGAATGGCTAATATGGAAATACATTTTGCATCATTTTACATGTATAGTTGATATCATCTTACTTGCCTTCTCAGTTGGTGGGAGAGGGGTAGGAGACAGAGAGAATTTGGAACTCAAAATTAAAAACTATTAATAATAAATAAATTAAAAACATTAAAAAAATAATGGGGGAAAGATAATTCACTTTTCAACATGTTGAGTTTGAGGGGCTAGGGGGATATTTAGGAGGAATTATCCATTATGAAGTTGACCATGTGGGATTGGAGTTCAGGGGAATTAGGGATTAGGAGACATTTAGATACAGTAAGGGCCAATATATTTTTTCCTTCCTCCTCCCGTTCTTTTTTGGATAATTAAGGCAAATGAAGTATATCTGCCCCTCAGGTAGTGATTCATGGTAACTGGGAGTGAGTGGCCCTGGCAGAGAAGAGAGGAAAGGCCCACAAAATGAGAATAAGGGCGATAGGGGTAAAAGACAATTCAAGTTTTTGCCCTCATTGTACGCAGGGGAGACGGCACCAAAATAACTGACTCTAGAGAATTGGTTCAGTTTGTCCTGAGAAGCTGATGGACTGTGCTACAGAGCAATTAAGATTATCAAGAATAGCAGTAGCTGGGGCAGCTAGGTGGTGCAGTGGATAGAGCACCGGCCCTGAAGTCAGGAGGACCTGACTTCAAATTCGGCCTCAGACCAAACACTTGACACTTATTAGCTGTGTGACCCTGGGAAAGTAACTTAATCCCAATTTCCCAAAAACAAAACAAAAAAAAAAGAATAGCAGTAGCTGACGTTCATAGAGTTTTAAGGTTTGTACAGTACATACATTATCTCATTTCAACCTACCCATCTCTAAGGCCATTCTACCATGTCTTTTGGAACTCCTGCTCTGTCCTCAGTGGATTCACTTACATCCTTAATATGGTCATCAAACACTCCTTCTGTTTCTTTACTTTAAATAAAACCTAGATTTCCTCTTAAGACCACACATCCCTCAAAAACCTCTCTATGGGAGACCATTGCAACCTATGGTTTGCTGATTCCAGATCAATCCTCCACCTTCATCCTATCTCACAGGGTTGTTTTAAGGATCAAATGAGATAATATTTGTAAAGTGCTTAGCATAGTGCTTGGGACATAGTAGGTGCTTAATAAATGCTTATTACCTTCCTAATCTCTGTCAGGTTTACCATCTCTTTCAGGCTCTTTTCATA